TCTTTTCAAAATTCTACACATAAATAATAGATTATATTCTCTCTTATATTCATATATTTCCTTGTGTGTCTGTGTAAAGCACAAAAGAATAATAGATTTTCTGAACATTAAAAGAGAGTTCTTTCGGCATCATAATATAGATGTAAAGATAACACAGCAGAAAAAATAAAAAGATTTCTCATATTCCACAGAAACACTGTTTAACGTAGCTGGATCATTTGCAAAATTGATCAATATAGAAAGGCCACAAAAGTACCTCAGAAACTAACTCAGATTAGCTGAGAAAATAACATTCTTATACAAAAATGAATCTGTATTACAATACCACCAAAAGATAGAAACATTAACAGAAGTTTCCCTGGGTTTCCATGTTTCGTTAACTATCTTTTCTCAGATATAGAATCTGTAATCCAAGTTTATACATAGCTTACTTGAATCAATTTCATCTTGTATTTGATGAAGAACCATGGCATGTGAGCCTCTTACCTTTTGACCAAAGCATCGATGTTTCCTCTTCAACAGAAACTTCATCAGTGCAGCTTCTCTCTGATTCAAATGTTGCTGGACAGTGAGTCCAACTTCTTCTTCTTTTGATTTCTATATGCTACTCCTGCTACTACTATTTCATTCAAATGTTGCATGTGTTTTGAAAATTATCTTCCACTTCTTTGCTTGCGTTCAGACGGAAAGGTAGAACCGTATGGTGATGTTTCTGATTTGTATCAGCTGAACTACTCAGCTTTACAGCAAGAATTACTTTTGATTATTCTAAATATGTCAAAAAAAAAACTAAAAAGGAAAACTTGGTAATAAGGATTCAGCATGACTGAAACGTAAATGGTCGGGGAATTTTTTTTTTTATAGACCAATCAATATACGGTTTTAAATTTCTTATTTAAAGTATGTTAAACAAAGATGTAATCAAGAAACTTGTAGCTAAGGATTCAACGCGAGGAAACGCTATTAATATACTTAGTTTAGAAATCAAATGGAGGAGCTTAACTAACCTGTGAATCTAGTAGCAGTATATCCACTTCAATCAGTTCTCCACCGCGTCAGATATTCGTCCTCCCAGAAACAGAGAAAGTGTATTATAATGGGTGGAGGGTTACCGTCTGATCCTCAAATCAGAAAGCTTTAGTCATTCTATAGAAAAGAAGTTTAATGGTTTGTTTAAACGGAATGAGGAGATGATTCTAATAGTAAGAAAGCTTACCTTTTTTTAGTCGTAGCTCCACCGCCTTGCATCAGTTACAATCGCTAGATCATGGGTGATGGATTAAAGAAGGAGTTTAAGAAGATGATTATGTAACATGTTCCATCTCGGATTGCTAGGAAGAAGATGAAACAACCCTATCAGAACACAGCTTCTGAGTCGGTCTCCAATGACGAAGATGAAAATGTCTGAAACCTAATTCACGCAGCGTTGCGCTTACTGTTTGGGCTGATTGAATTGACATAAATAAGGCCCAATTAAAAACAAAACCCATATGTGTTTCTAAACAAACTTAAATGAAATGGAGCGGTTTGACAAACGGACACGTGGCACACAGTTATAAACCTAATTAGTGACATGGCATAAGGAGAAGAGGGAAAACCTTACTTTATAGTATTTGACATAAATAAGGCCCAATTAAAAACAAAACCCGTATGTGTTTCTAAATAAACTTAAATAAAACGGAGCGGTTTGACAAACGGACACGTGGCACACTGTTATAAACCTAATTAGTGACATGGCATAAGGAGAAGAGGGAAAACCTTACTTTATAGTATTAGATATGTAAACACATGCAATATCTTTTTAATATCCGGCTATATTTTCAAATTTCTATTATTTATTCAGTTTAGCCGGCTATTTACTTATATGTTATAATAATTAAGTAACAATACACATTTAAAGTCTTGTTTAAATATTCAATAAATATAGAATTAAATACCAACAAACATAAAGAGTATTCAGATAAATTGAACTATAACCTGCTAAATTACAGATTAACTTATATTTATTAACAAATTTAGTAAATCACTGTTTATATATGTTGGGACACACCTCTGAAGTTATATCCGTTAATAAAATTACATAACCGAAATTTATTCAAATTATAGAAAACATTAAATAATTATTTAACTAATACTCCATCCACATAGCTGGTAATTTAAATTATAATACCAGTTAACATGTAACATATCCAGATAAATCAATATATAACCATGCTAAATCTAAATACCAGTTAACATGTAACATATCCAGATAAATCAATATATAACCATGCTAATTTACGAGTTCTCTACTAATCTTTCTTCTTCTTGATTCAGTCTTGTGGTGGTGGCTCTGGCTCGCCTCAGTCGACTCTTTAGTCACCGTTCAACTCCGGTTACAGCAGCCCAATTACCGGTCACGAGAACCATCCATGCCGCTAACTCCGATTTCTAGAACCTTGTAGAGTTGGCCACCACCATCATAGTATATGTAATCACGTGTCTAGTCCCCCCACTATTAGGTTCAAAACTTGAATAAGTAAACACACAAAACAACTTCGCTGATCAATCAAAACACCAGATAGAGAATTTTCATCAGAGATCTAGAAATCTTGTGGACTAATACAAAATGATTGGAAATTCAAATCTTTACATTGGGGGATGGCTGAAAGTGTGAGGGACCAGTGGATTGGAGCCATCAGCCATTGGAGGAAGACTTGTGGAAGAAGATTATCGGAGATCTTTCTCTGATGGTGCACCGCGGCGGTGCTAGATATCTATTTTTTGTTCATTGTCTTGTACCATGTATCGCAGTTTTTTTCTATTAGTAAATCGGAGCTCCAAACGAATTCTTTAGTTTAGATCTATTAACAAAACTTGTTCTTTTGTTTATGTGCCATCTTCTTCTCTCTCAGACACAAATGAAGTTTTTTTGGGTCAAGTTCAAAAGCAAAATAGTAGACGATGAAAATTGATTGTTGTTTCTCTTTCCTTCCAAAGCTCATAGGGATAAAGATGCCATTTAAACCTCATTCTCTCTCCGCTTTTCACTGTTTTTCCATGTTGTAAATTATTAACTTATTTGATAATTTTCTTGCAAATTGCTCAAACTTTAAAGGTACTTTATAAAAATGCCTTCAGTTTGAATAATATTTTTAATAATAAAGTTGATTTTTTTCACCCATTGGAGAGAATTAATACACTTGTCACATTTTTATTCATTGATTTTTTAATGGGTTTTTGGCTCTTCTATAGAAATTTGTTAAATTTTTTAAACGGATTTGGTCTTCTACACATGTTTAATATGTTTTGTTAAGAGCCTCAGTGAATCGTCTTCTTCGCTGTGCATTCGTCCACATCCGACCTAAGTTATAGAGGCCAAAGTCAGACGGTCGCTTCTCTGTAATACCTCGAGACCGCATTGACTCACTCTCTCCACTCTTAAGCATTCAATTGAGTTTATCCCCTCCCTAGAGTAACCAGGAAAAACTCATACTATAAATATCTCCACACAAATGATTCGGTTGAGACTCACCAGTAGTTAAGAAGCGTTATAGACTGGATCAGCTCCCGCGAATTCAAAACTCTAAAGCTCACATATGTTCTTTCAAACTTCCCAAATATCTCAGTATTAATGTGTTCTTCTTCTTCTTTTACCCCTTTGAAAACATAACCAAATTCTTGCATATTAAATTTCATACCGTTTTAAGCCACTCTATTTATTATTTCACTGATTGTAGGTAAATCAAGTTTTAATGAAAGTTACTCACAAAAAAGACCCTTGAAGCATCTAAGATGAAATATACAACTTGAGAATCTATCTTCCTCCTTTAACTGATCACTTCTTAACTTTCAGAAATCATGGACCAGCTGGACAAAAACAGTGTTCTTTCTAGAATAGGATAGGATGCATACATCAAAAAACGGAAACGAGGTATATAATAAATTATTTTCTACTGATTTAGTTTTAGTTCTCTTTGTTTTTTTTTATTTATCTTCACCATCAACTAAACCCTAAATATAGACCATGAAGTGAATTCAAGTTTGTGATAAATGGATGTGATGGTAAAGTACTAAAGCTGCTCCAAGAAAAAAGAGAGCTACAACTCCTTAAGACTACATGTACATGAAAGTGTGAGACTTTGACTTCTTAATAGGTTTAATACACAAGCAAAAAAAGATAGATATATAAAGATGGTGCTAAAGTTTATTATTGATTCACTTTGTTTTCTTAAGCTTTGTACCATTAGATTCAATATGTAACCACTGATCATTATAGAGCTTCACAACATGTTGGATGGTGAAGCCAACTAGACTGACATCAATTTGTAAGCTAATCCAAGAAAGCTACATTGAAGATTCTAGCAGCCGCTATCTAGGTTTGCTTTCTCAGTTTAGACCCTACTTCTTTAAGGTTTGTTGTTTATAAGGCTGCATCCAACTTTAACCGAGTATAAGCTGAATATAGTCATAAAGTAATTGACCCCATAAACCACAGTGAAGGCACGTGTGAACAATGATGTTGTAGCCATCACACTTTTCCAATACCAATGGCGTTCAAAGTCGTTCATCATTGTTTGTAGTTTGCCAGAGACATGGGATCTTGCAGTTTCCACATCGAATAATTCAAAAACTGATTTTGGCATGACACGTCAAGTGCTTTAATAATTTGTGGATGTTCACAAACTCAAAATAGTTATTAGAAAGTGATATTGTACATTTACAGTTCTTTCGTCTCTCATGTCCTCTTCAGTTCATACATAATAAGATGTTCTATAGATTTGTCACTTTCTTTTATTGATCAACCATCAGGTTTATCACTATAAGTTTTTTATACGTCACTTCATTTTTTCTTTAGATTTTATTCTGCAAATTGATGTAAAAAAATACATATATACTTACGTTAAAAATTAGATTTTACAATGCAAATTTGACGCGTAGTGCCGACTTACCCCTAGTAGATTATAAAATACAAATTGAAGCGGGGAAGTAGATTATAAACAGTTGGATGTCCATCCACGAATTCGAAGCCCGGTTGACATTTATTTTTGGTCGTAAAATTAATAGATGAGTACTCAGAGAAAGAAAAAATACACACAAATAAATACATTATTAAAGGTTGACAAAAAAAATACATTATTAAAGAGAATAATGTTTCTTGACCAGAAAAGAGAATAATGAAGAAGAAGAAAATAACATCAAGAGAATGTAGAAAAAAAACACATCCAAGTCAACCCATCATTCGTTGGCCCATGGGAGCCATCATCTCTTGTTGCTGACCCATCCGCTGTTTCTGCTGATTCCCACTCCATCCTAATTACACCAAGATATTAAGTTGTGAGCTAAATGTTAAGAAAGAAACAGAAATAAATTACTACAGTTACTAAGAATTTTTTTTTTAAGTTAAGACTATTTCAGAAACAATAGCTCGTCGATTACCAATGGCAGGATCAAGGCCACGGTTCTTGAGCTCACGGTATTCTTGGCAAAGTGCACAATATTCACAGAAGCAATGAGTGATCCAATCCGGAGCCGGAGCATCCGGTAACCCGAATTTGTTTCGGAGTTTAGCCCTGAATGTGCATGAGTAAATACATGGTATCCCTAATAGACAGCATATTGCTCCATACAACATTCCACTCGTCCCACAACCTGCGCATATATATTATATAAATTGACAATGACTCAAAATCACAGAATCGTGTAAATGAAAATATGCAAAATATAATGACACGATCGTTATTAGGTCTCTAAATAGTCTGGAAATATAAATTCCATTATTGTGTGATCATATAATAATGAGTTAACCATAAATGGCGATTTAGAAAAATATTGTGATTATAAAATGTTGATTCTCTAGTTCCACAAACTCGGTTATCTATATTATTTCATGCTATACATATATATGTTCCGGTGTTACTTACTGCTTGCGCCTTCATCGATAACTTCTGCAATCTGTCCGAACGTGATGAACGGGAAGAAACATGTGATGACAGCTGATTCGAAAACATAACGAAGGCAACAAAATTCATATGTAGTAAGTTTTAACCGTGGAGCAACAAAAAAAAAATATAATTAAGAAAAAGCAATGAACTGAATCGACAGCTAAATGTCTAGGTTTAAATTTTTTAGAAATTCTAACCATTTTCTCCGTCGTTCATGCAATCAAAAAGTTCTGAAGTCCATTTTGATGGTTGGTTGCTGGCGGCTCCGGTCATTGGTATTGGTTGACCTGGTATTCCAGTCGGTCCGGGTACAGGTTGTGCATGAGACATTGGATTTTGTTCTGGTCGACCCATTTGTAAACAGGAGATAAGTGATTAAGCTTTGAGAATGAATGTTAGTTTTTCTTCTTTTAGTTTATTGTGATAAAACACTTGAATGGGGGTTTGATTTATATAGCGGTAGATTATATTTAAATTGAATTAGTCTGAAACTTTCGTCTTATCTTGCACTTTTGTTTTGACATATTGCACTTTTTCTATCATACAACATGGCAATAATACTTATAAAATTAATTAGTTATAATTAATATTTTAGTTTGTATATTTTACTAATGAAACTAGCTAGCTATACTATCACGAACATTTCAACATATATACAGTTTCTTTAACGAAGTTTTATAACTATTTTGCAGTAATTCCCCACCATCTATAGCCAAAGCGTCTTCAAGTACATTTTTTGGCATTTTATCACAAATTTAGAATTTATTACAAATAGAAAATTGTCATTGTTAATAAAACCTCCACCGCATATGGCAGCAGTAGTGCAACAACAATAACAACAAAGGATCTAGTACACTGAAGCATGGAATATCATCTTGTTATTGTTGTTGCATATTTGGAGTTGAAAATCGGAGGAGCTTTTGGTATTTATTTTTCACATACTAGTCAAATGTTTGCGTCCAATAAAAACCATTTTCGACCTCCACGATTATACTAATTAAGATTATTATAACTTAGTCTATGAATAAGAAATTGGTTTTGCAAATGAATATTAGTTGTGGTCGAATAATTCTCAGTAATGTACGGATATCGGCATTAAGAATGTGTTCTTACCCAGGGCCGGCCCTGAAAATAAGGGGGCCTAAGGTCAATTTTTAACAATTTCACCTAAAAAATATTTTTTTATGGGTTTGGGGGCCTAAAAAATTTTTTTAGGCGCTTATATGCATGAAATTTTTTTCAAAAAATTTGGGGACCCAAGGCCAATGTTTCATTAGGCTTGGCCCAGGACCGGCCCTGTTCTTACCTGAAGAAGCATGCTTGCATATAAATAGCTTGGGAATATTTTTGAGAAAGATTAAAGTGGATACTAATATTCGCAACAATTAATCAATTTGTTATTTTATCTAGCTGTATCAGAAACTAAACTATACTTCAATTTGGGGGAAAACGGCACCAAACAAAAGTGGGTTTTAAATATTTTTGACTTATTCTGGTGAGCATTTAAAGAAATATTACAATCTGTAAAAAAGAAGAAAACAAAACTCAAGTTGCTATTGACTCTGGAAACTTAAATTCTTATCTGATAATGCTAAACATGATTGTGCACGCACATGGTCAGTCATTACTTATTTGCAACTTAAAAGACTTGACTTTGTCACAAAGTCTTTGTGATAAGTAATGACTGAGGCAAACAAATCCAAAATATCATATCTGTATCATCTAATAAATACGTAGTCATCAAACATCAAGTTGTTGTAGTATAGTCGTAAGTATTTCTGTCTGTCATCCGGTGACCCGGGAGCGTTAACATTTTTTTTTTTTTGTCAATTTTCTGAAATAGGTGAAACATGGGCTGAATTGATCTAGTATTGGCCCAAATTGGCTCACGCCTTGATCAAAAGCATTTTAGCATATTCTAAATCTAAAGCATCCAGTGATTTGCTTTGACGTAACTCACAGATACTAGATACTGAGATTAAAGCATCTCCCAGAAGAGGATTACTACTGTATGTAAACTGGTTTCAAGTTTTATCTTATTTCTTGAAATTGTCTTTAGATCACAACAAGGCCACATATCTGTGCAAGAAATGTACTAAGATTCCTCTGCTGTACGTTATTGCTCCCTATTCAATTAGAGAAATGTACATTACAATGTGGTGTCATTTTTCACCAACTGTTGATGTCAATGCATAGTCGATGGAGCTGGATGTTGCTGCGGAATTGGTGGAACCGGATAAGCCGGTAAAGCATAAGGAGCAACTCCAAGATTATGGTGATGATGGGTTCCCATTGGAGGTGGAAGCATCACAGGTGTTCCAACAGCTGAACCCATATGATCAGGTGGTGCGATGATCGGTTGTCCCACTGGCGCACCACCATACATCCCTAGTCCAGCCATTGTTGGACCCGGATGATGCAGTTGCGTCTGTGTATGTGGCTGAGTTGGTCTATGTTTAACCACTTGTTGTTGTTGTCCTGTAACCGCGGGAGCTTGATTGTTTATGGTAGTGATGTCATGAATGCTAGACCGTCTTCGATCTCGGTTCATAGAGTTAAGCCGGATAAAGTATTTTTGAGCATGACTTGCTACTTGAGTTGGTGTTCTTGTGATCACAAAGTTCCTTGAGATGCTTTTCCAATCTCCTTTCCCAAATTTCTCCAAACCCAAAAGAAACAACCTTCAAGAACAAGAAAACAAAAAGAGAGCATTTGAATAAAGGTAACATCATTAAGATGAAGTGAGGAAGAAGAAGAAGAAGGAGACACCTATGCTCTTCTTCTGTCCATGGAATCCCTTTTCTTCTCTCTTGCTCAGCTCTTGAACCACTCCTTCCGCTGCCATTTATCCCGGAGACTCCGTGGTTTAGTTTCTTCTCCGATGATCCACTTCCCCCCGAGGAATGACAGTCTCTGTTCGCAGGAGAAGCTTCGTCGCCGGTTCGGTGATAACGAGGTAATGGGACTTGTCCGTTCTCTATTGCCTTCACGTCTTCTAAAAGGACATGGTAATGTTTCTTTACTTGTTCTAATGTTTTTGTCGGAACCATTGAGGCCATTTTGCTCCATTGTTCCTCTTTTATCTCTTCATCTACACAATGCATAGCAATTGCGTTCTCGAATGATTTCTCTTCTTCTCTGCTCCATGTCACCGCTACAGTACTCTCCATTAGCTTCTTGCTTCAATCCCTGTTTCTCTCTCTCTCTCTCTTTTCTGTTCTTCTCTCTCCTCTCTTACTCTCTTCTTTGATCGTGTGGTCGGCATGATGGTGTTTGTGTAACGTATAATGATGGGTCAGATTCTTTGCTTTTTGGAGTTTTGTGTAAAAACTCCTTTTGTGTTTGAAGTGCGCACGATAAAAGTGGACAGTGTATAAGCGCAGGATAAGAGTGGTCATGTGCGAAGGATAAGAGGTTGGATGGGGACTGTAACTTATTCACAAGCATCAATCAGTTGGCTTCGTTTTCTATTGTCACTCGGAAGGAAAGAGTAGGCACAGCCGCACAGGATAAGATTCTTGTAGTTTATCACTCTTGCTTTTCTTTTAATTTAACCCTCACTCTTTAGAGATTTGGTCTCTTTTTTTTTGTTTATTGGGTCTTAAATCGAATTAAAAAAATTCTAATCAAACCTGACTTGATAAAAATGAATCCGAACTGATCCAAAATTCACATAAATACCAAATATTGTACGGTATTTTGGGTTATGAAATTCGCTATGAATCCAAACCTAAGTGGATATTCGAAAAATCTGAAAATTTCAAAATCCCAAAAAGATTTTGTACCATACCTAATCTTTACAATACTATTTGATAAGTCAGTTCTCTACATGCCGATGCCGCCTTCACGTTTATTCTTTATGATGGTCAATTATGTTTATTTCTTAATGAATTAACTAGATCATGACCATTCGCACCCGCACGGATTTTATTTTTCACAAGTATTCTATATAATTTAGTTTAATATAGTTTTGATTTTGTCAAATTCCATTTTATGTTTAAACAAAAATATTAAAACGGTCTTTTGTATTAATATCTTCAAGCAGTGTATTATATAAATGTAACTGTGCAGTGAAAAGACTAATTTTGTATGTTTGTTCGAAGTGCAAAATAAAATTCCAACTTAATTGTTTGAGTAAAAAACTAAGTTAAGAGTTTAGTTACTTCATATGTTAATAATTATCCAAATATTTTAAAATAATATATAAATTTCTAAAAAATTTAAGCCTTAACCTTTATTTTATAGTTTAAGCCAAATTCAAACTTAAATTTGATCTTAACTTTGCAAACGCATAATATTTTATGATGAAAAATTTCATAAATAACTTAACAAATATTTTTGGTAATTTGAAAGAATTTATGTATTTAAATCAGTATTTTTAAATTCAATCTGAAATCATGGTTAAACCGATGATCCGATAATTCAATTTTAGTTTTTAAAAATATCTATATTTTAAAAATCACTAAAACCCAAAACTAACCGATTAAATCGATGGAAAAATGATAAGTAATATTTAAACCTGTAAAATAAGTTTATTTTCGCTGTTTTATATATTATTTGATTTTTTAATTTATCTAAATAATTTGAAAGAAAATTCTGAGAAACTATTAAAAAAAGTGAGATCTAATATTTTGTATTTTTTGGACAGAAGATTAACTCTAGTGTTGTTTGTAAACATGGATAGTAATATAAATAAATTAATATATTTTTTGGACATAAGATTAATTATAATGTTGTTTGGAAACTTGGATAGTAGTATAAAAATGAATATATTATTTGGACATAAGATTAATTATAGTGTTGTTTGGAAATATGAATAATAGTATAAAGAAATAAGTATATTCTTTGGAAACATGGATAGTAGTATTAAGAAATAAATATATTGTTTGGAAACATGGATAGTTGTACAAAGAAATGAATATTAGTGATTTAATGTATGTTTAATTATATAGTAAAAAATGTATTAAATTTAAAAACTTACAAAATAAATGTTAGTTCCAACCTAATGTTTATGTTTTAATAAGATATATATTATTATGTGATTGTCATTATCAATGTTTCTATTTTAGTTTTTACTAATAATTTTTTTTCTAAAAATCACTGAAAACATCTAAAAATTGGTGTGTTTAACTGAGAGTTTGAGGTGTGATTTGTACTGAAATAACAAATTTACTATTATTCAAACATGTATTTTAAGAACTCATTTAATTCTGTTATTGAACTTGACATTTCATAAAATACTGTAAAGTTCATTATTATTGAGAAACATTTAAACTTTATTTAATAAAAATGAATCCGATCCAAACCTGACATAAATACAAAATATTTTATGGTATTTTGTGTTATGATTTTTATTCGATCTGAATTCAAACCTAAATGAATATCTGAAGAATCTGAAAATTTTAAAATCCCAAAAAGATTTTGTAGCAAACCTAATCTCTATAATAATATTTGATAAGTCAGTTTCTTACATGTTGCGTTCACGTTTGTTCTTACGATGGTCAATTGCGTTGATCTAGATTGCATTGAATCGGAAACGCATATGTGGAAACGAAACGTTTCGAAACGTGGAAACATGATTTTCAAAAAAATTAGAAATGGAAACGTTTTAGAAACGTCTATAATATATTTATGATTAATCAACATGTAAGTTTTTTTGTTTGATTTATCTAAGAGAAAAAATTAAGTAATATAAGTATTTTTTTTGTACATTTTATTAAAATTATAATCAATAACTAGAAAAGTAACATATGTTATCATTGATAAAACTATTGAGCGACTTCATTCCAAATCAAATTATTATACTAAAATGATAACAAATATCAAAAGATAATATTAAAATATAAAATAATAAACATGTAATCATTAACATCAAATGTCAAATAGTTATTTTTGTGTTTATAATTAGAATCGCGAGTTTCCAAATTAAAATCGCGAGTTTCCAAATCAGAAATACAAGTTTCCATCGTGTTTCCAAAATGAAATTTTCAAGACATGTGTTTCCAAAGAATTTCCTCGAGTTTCCAAGAGATTCCAGTTCCGAAACGTTTCCGAAACAGGAAACGGAACTTGAACGGAGTTTCCATGCAACCTAGGTTGATACCTTTAATGAATTACTATTAGGGTTTGTTGCAAAAATGACTCAAAACTCAAGGTCAAACACAAAATTAACCTTCTTTGTTTTTGACATTTCATTTGCCCAATCCACCCCAGAAGTTTTGATTATTCACGAAAATGCCATTCCTTTTTTTCGAAAATGAGTGTTTTACTCTTATCTGCATCTTCATCAATTAATCACGAAAATGTCATTGCCATCAATTCACCCAACAACCATGAACAACCAAAATGAAGCTCTTAATGCATCTAAAAAACGAAATTTACTCATTCATTCTTATATCTTATGCCCAAAAACTACGTCACTCTCACTTTCTAACTATAATCATCCAAAAAAGTCCAAACTTATTGATTTGAAAGTTTTTAAGGGTCATATAGCCATTCAAGCTCACGATTTCTGGTCACTAATGATTGAGTAGCTGTTCTGGTGAAGTTGTGTGTGCTTAGAGAACTAAGCAACTTCTCTCAAGGCTTGAAGGTATGAATTGTTTTTTTTCCCAGTTTTTTTCGCTAGAAGACTTAATTTTGTAAGTCTTCTTAAGTCTTCTCATTCTAGAAGACTTCCACAGAAGTCTTATGGTCAAATAATATGTTAGTTTTGCAATTGACTTTCTGTGTGTTTTTTAAAGAAGACTTACCTGGAAGTTTTCTCGGATAAACAAGTTAGTTTTGCAATTGACCAATCTATGTAAGAAATTTGATTTTCTTCGGAAGACTTCCAGGTAAGTCTTCCGCCGGAAGACTTACCTAGAAGTCTTCCAAACCTTTACATTAAGTCTACTGAAGTTTGCGTAGATTACTTTTGCAATTGAAAATTTAAACTTAAAACATTTAATTTTAATTGGAAGACTTCCAGATAAGTCTTCCAGATAAGTCTTCTGCAAGAAGACTTACCTGGAAGTCTTCTAGATTTTTATTCCGTGATTCTGGTCAAACCTAAGGTAATCAAAGAAGACTTACCTGTAAATTTTCCGGGCGGAAGACTTATAGGTAAGTCTTCTCAACAAAAGTAAAATATAGTCAATTGCAAAAGTAACCTACACAAACTTCAGTAGACTTAATGTAAAGGTTGAGTAAACTTCCAGGTAAGTCTTCCAAGGGAAAACTTACCTTGAAGTTTCCGTAGAGAGTCAAATTTATGACACATATTGGTCAATTGCAAAACTAATATGCTTATCCGAGAAGACTTCCAGGTATGTCTTCTCATGTATTTTCGAGAATTTTTGTATTACAAAAGTAAGCCAATATTTACAAAAGTAAGTAATATTTACAAAAGAAGACTTCCAAAGAATTCCCCTATAGAGGAGACTTCTCTGAAAGTCTTCCTTTGCAAATTTTCAATTGCAAAAATTACCTAAACGGAAGACTTACCTGGAAGTCTTCTCCCAGAAGACTTGCCTGGAAGTCTTCCGACTTTCCTGGAAGTCTTCTTCGGGAAGACTTCCAGGTAAGTATTCTACAATAAACTTTCATTTTCTTCAAATTTAAAATAAGTTCTTAAGATTATTCAAGTGTTTTAGACAATATATGGGGTTGTGAATGAATTCATAGCTTAATTTATGATAATTATGAAGTTTTTAATATCCATGTTTTTTAATGTTTCTAGCTAATGGTAGAAGACTTCCAGGGAAGTCTTCTATCAGGTTAGGTTTAATTTTTTGACTTTGATGTTCTATCTTTGATAATATTCTCTAATTTTATTTTTGCAGATGATGCGTAAGTTAACTTTAGTCTACGAAGAATAAATGGTGAAAGATGATTGTTGGGATTTTGTGGTTGATAATGTTAAAGGTGCTAGAATTGCATTTCTAAGTGAAGGTTCTACACATGAGGAGCTTCTCGAAATGGCTCAAGAAAATTATAACCTAGACAAGAACACGGAGGTTGTGGAGTTAACCTATTCATTACCAGACACTCCTCCTATTCATGTTACTAATGATCGACAAGTTCGAACTTGTTTGAGATTACTAAAACGCATGATGTACGTCTTTGTGTATCATAGCCGAGGCACTGACGGAAACAAAGAATGTGAAGATGGTAATGAAGTTTCAGATGAAGGGGAAGAAGACAAGGAAGGCGAAGAAGATGAGGAAGGTGAAGAAGATGATGATAATTTTCTTTA